TTTAATTTAAAAAAAAAAAGACTGAGCGAGATGGGCTGGACACTCCCTGGAGCCTTCCCACGGTCCCTCCCCAGCTGGTCAACCTCCCGTGTACCTCCCTGGCACTGGTCCTGCACCGTTGGGATCCCTCAGCCTGGCCTGTGCCCTCTCGTAATCTGGGCTGAGGGACCTCCCCCCCACCCCCCACCCCGCCCTAAGTGCATGAATTTCATGCACTGGCCCTCTAGTATTATATAATAAAAGTTACATGAGCTCTAACTGGTTTGGCTTGGTGGATAGAGCATCGGCCTATGGACTGAAGGGTCCCAGGTTCGATTCCAGTCAAGGGCATGTACCTTGGTTGCGGGCACATCCCAGGTGGGGAGTGTGCAGGAGGCAGCTGATCGATGTTTCTCTCTCATCGATTATTCTACCCCTCTATCCCTCTCGCTTCCTCTCTGTAAAAAAATCAATAAAATATATATTTTTTTAAAAAGTTACATGAATGTGGTCACTTGTTTCAGGGGTCCCTGGCTGGAGTTTTCATGTGAGTTCAGTGCTTTCTGGAGCAGCATGTTACCGTCAATTGGAACATGTTTTCTGTTCAAGTCTTCTACCTGCAAATTTAATGTCTTTTCTGTCTTAACTAAGCACTTACACACTGTGGCTGTAAGTTTTGCAGATTGAGAACAGCAAAACTAGCATGGATTTCTTTCTTTTTTTAAATCCTCACTCAAGGATATTCTCCCATTGATTTTATTTTTAGGGAGAGTGGAAGAGAGAGGAAAAGACAGAAACATCGATGTGAGAGAAACATCGATTGGTTGCCTCCTGCACGTGCCCGGGCCGGGGAGAAGCCTGCAACCTAGGTATTTGCCCTTGACCGGAATTGAACCCGGGACCTTTCAGTCTGCAGGCTGATGCCCTTTCCACCAAACCAAACTGGCTAGGGCATCTTTTTCCTTCTTCACAAATTCACAGTTAGAAGATCATAGATCTTAGCAACCTAAGCATAGGATTTTTTTTTTCTTAAGTCAAGAACTTTCACTTTTTCACATAAAGGAAGTGCTTTACAGTTTCTCTTCGGCCTGTCAGGATAGCCAGCACCACTGCTCTAGCACTGCGGGGCGCAAGCACTGTGACACCTCCACAGTCGATCCGGTAACAGACAGCTGCTGTGTGTCTGGTACTACACAGGTACCCTGGGCAAAGGATGGTGCACGTCCCGGGCAGGACCAAGGGTGCGTGAGACTTCACCACACTGCTCAGAAGGGCATGGGATGTTTATTGAATGATTTGTTTCTGGGATTTTCCAGTTAATGTTTTCAGACCACAGTTGACTGGGTGATGAAACCATGAAATGTAAACTAAGCTGAGGGGAGACTATTCACACATGACCTTGGTATGTGGCTTTGTTCGCTGAGCTCCGTGTTCTCCTAGTCCCGTGGTCAGTAAACCACGGCTCGCGAGCCACATGCGGCTCTTTGGCCCCTTGAGTGTGGCTCTTCCACAAAATACCACATGCGAGCGCACACGTACAGTGTGATTGAAACTTGGTGGCCCATGCGCAGAAGTCAGTATTTTGTGGAAGAGCCACACTTAAGGGGGCAAAGAGCCGCATGTGGCTCACGAGCCGCAGTTTGCCGACCACTGTCCTAGTCCTTCCACTTGTGGCATGGGCCAGCACTTCATTCCTCTGTAGTGCTAAGTAACACTGCAGTCTATGGATACACTGCATTTTGTTTTTCTGCTGATGAATATTTCGGTTGCTTCCACTTTCTGGCTATTGTGAATAGTGCTGCTATGAACATTTGTGTACAAGTATTTCTTTGAATCATTTGTTTTCAGAAATTGTGTCTATATATATAGCCGTGTAATTGCTAGATCACATGGTAGTTTTATATTTAACTTACTGAGGAACTGCCATGCTGTTTCCACAGTGGCCATACCATGCTATTAATATGGTATATTACATGGATTGATTTTCCTGTGTTGAACCACTCTTGCATTTGACTATGAAAATTTGAATCTATAAGTCCATCACTTTGAATAAGGATTTAAAATAAAGGTTTCATAGCTAATTTTTAAAGTTTTTGCTATGTTTTGAGGAAATACGGATACATCCTAAATATCAATGAAAGAGTTGTCTTTGTTTTCCTCTTGTTTTCATGAGTATCAAAGACTGATAGAATAATGAGGGGGCACAGGGGCACAGGGGGCCAGAAGAGGCTAGAACGTCTGTTGTAGGACTAGGATCCCAGAGCAGTGCGGATGGGCAAGTGTCAGCAGGGAAGCAAGACCACAAGTGAGGGAGAGGTCAAGATGTGCCAGATCTGAGTACAGAAAGGTTACAGGACACAAAATAGGGTTTGACTGTGGATTCCTCTTTGACTGATTTGTTTATTTGTGTACCGGTACTGTCATAATACTATTAAACTAGGGGCCCAGAGCACTAATTTGTGCACCTTGAAAGGAACTGTGGGCCACAAGGCTACAGTGGGCACAGGGGTGGGTCTCGGCCCATCCTCCGCGCCCCTGCCCGGCCACTCCTGCCGCAGCCTCCGGTCCCCTCTCTGCCGGTAGCCCCGCTCCCACTGCCGCCGCTCCCACGCACTGATGGCGCCAGCCCAGCTCACACCGCTGTTGGCACTGAGCGATTGAGGCTGGCGCCAGCAGCAGGTGCAAGCAGGGCCGACACCATTAGTGGGTGCAAGTGGCAGCTGCTGCCCCGATTGCCCTTCAGGAGTGATCGGGGCTGGCGCTGGCAGCGGATGCGAGTGGCAGCTCTGGTGCTGGCAGTGGGTGTGAGCGGTGGCTCCTGTGCCAGCAGCGGGTGCAAGCGCCAGGCGGGACCATGGCATGTGGGAGCAAAGAATTTTCAGTAACTACCAAAGGCTCGCCCTGATGACAGCGACTGGCGGCCCGCCTTGGTCTGGCACCCCCGTTCACCTGCTCCACCATCTCACCACAGCCAACACCCACCATGTTCCACGCATGCCCCCTGATGGTCAGCACACGTCATAGTGACCCGTTGTTAGGTTGTTCCGCCATTCGGTCTATTTGCATATTAGCCTTTTATTATATAGGATATACTCTATGACTTTTAAAAACTTTCTCATTCATATTAATGGATGGAAAAGAGTGTTGAAAAGATGTAATTCTCCCCAAATAAGTTTATTAATTTTTAATTAAAATCCAGCAAAAAGCTCAGTGTGCCCCCCCTGAATTTGATATTGATTAGCAAGATTAGCCAATAAAATCTTGATTAAAAAATAAATCATCACCCAGGCCCGTGTGGTTGAGTTGGTTGGGCATCGAGTCGTCCCGTGCACTACAAGGTTGCTGGTTCAATTCCTGGTCAGGGCACATGCCTGTGGATTTGATCCCCAGTCAGGCCATGTGCAAAAGGCAACCAATCAATATTTATCTCTCTCTTCCTCTCTCTCTCTCTCTCTCTCTCTCTCCCTCCCTCCCTCCCTTCCTCTCTCAAAATCAATAAATATTTTTTAAATAAAAATCAATAAATTATCTGAGACTTGGGACACATTTTATACATTACTAAAGGCTTGGTGCACGAAATTTGTGCGTGGGGTGGGGGGTCCCTCAGCCCGGCCTGCACCCTCTCCAATCCGGGACCCCTCAGGGGATGTCCGACTGCCTCTTGCAGTCCGGGACCTCTGGCTCCTAACCACTCACCTGCCTGCTTGATCGCCCCTGACTGCTCCCCTACCTGCCTGATTGCCCCTAACTGCTCCCCTGCTGGCCTGATCACCCCTAACCACCTCTGCCTTGCCCCGCACCCGGGACCCAGGACTCCCTCCTCCAGCTGCTTGCAGGCACCTGGGACCTGGGCTTCCCTCTCTCTGAATGGCCGCAGGCACCCAGGACCCGGGCCAGCTTCGCCCAGGCCAGCCACAGCCTCAGGGGACCATGCGTGGACGGCTTGTTCCTCTCCTGGGCCACAGCCTGGCTGGTCCTCATTCCTCTCTCGCGAACTCATTTGTGCCTGGCTAGTCCCCATTCCTCTCTCCCTATTGTTGAGTATCTGGGCCGTGACGGCGTGAGGGCATGACAACATTTGCATATTAGCTCTTTATTATATAGGATTCCTATAGTTTCAATGTAAAAAAATCCTTTTTTTTCCAAATCTGTTTTTATTGATTTGAGAGAGAGAGAGGAAGTGAGAGGGAGATAGAAACATTGATCGGCTGCCTACTGCATACTCCTTACTGGGGGGGTCAAGCCCATAACCTGGGCGTGTGCCCTGACTGGGAATTGAACCTGTGATCTCCTGGTGCATGGGACGATGCTCACCCAATTGAGCCACACTGGCCAGACAATGTCAAAAGATCCTAAAATTAAATCTTTAGTAATCAAAATACATGAGTCATGGGAATGTTTGAGAGGTCAACTTCTCATATCATATATATAAAAATTTAGTGGTTTATAACCGCTGTATTTTAATTCAGTTGTGAAATTGATCCTGTACATATCATATGTGGTAAACTCTAGAGGATAAAAAAAAACCTATAAACAAACATGCACATGTCCAACTTCCCACAGTGTAAACAAAAATATAAAAGACACGAAATGCTTAGAAGAATACAGATCAATACGCATCCAAACCTTGATGGGAACGGACTTTCTTCTAAGCCTGAAAGGAAAGGGGAAATCTTTTTCTGCATTAAAAAATGACATGGATCCAAAATTAAAACACAGTGCCACTGAGGGAGGGAAGAGTGAGTACGTTTCCCCAGGAGTTTTTGTGTGATCAGACCTGTACTTAACTGATAGGTTGTATGTCTATACCAGGGGTGGGCAAACTTTTTGACTCGAGGGCCACAATGGGTTCTTAAACTGGACCGGAGGGCCGGAACAAAAGCATGGATGGAGTGTTTGTGTGAACTAATATAAATTCAAAGTAAACATCATTACATAAAAGGGTATGGTCTTTTTTTTTTTTTAGTTTTATTCATTTCAAACGGGCCGGATCCGGCCCGCGGGCCGTAGTTTGCCCACGGCTGGTCTATACTGATAATGGCTCACCTTGTACTTTTTTAGAAATTACATTTTGAAGCATCACAAGTCAGTGGATTGTCGTTACTGATGGTACTCAGGTTCTGTAAACCTGCTGCAGGCACTGAATTACAGACTGAGCTGTTGCTCCTGGGCAGACACAGAGGTTGGTCTCGGCAAGCCTCTGCTCACCACCTTCTCCTCAGTCCTTGAGTCACAGCCTCATTTTGTGTGTTTCTGTTTAAAGACACCCTCTTTAATTGATAGTGTTGATTCACCAGCGTTGAGCTCTGGCCGACAGCGCTGTGACTCCCACCTGCAGGAAACTCATCTAGCTCACGTGTTTTCTCCACGGGGCACATCACAGCCTCTTGCTGAAGAACAGCACTCGGCACTCCACCTGGGACCACTTTAGACAACAGGGTCACCAACAAAAATCACAGAATATAAGAAAATGTGGCAATAAATAGACTATGAAAAGAGCACTTGCTTACAGTATGAGCTGAAGCCGCTCCTGTGCAGCACAGCTGGGAAGGGCTTGTCAGGTGACTCCGAGTTCCCACTGCTCTGCCCTGGGCCTGGAGGACGGATTTGGGGTTACAGCTCCATTTCAGCAAGTGGGCAGTTCACAGATAAGAATGTACCTGTGTTGAGGAGCAGCTGCATGCTTTTTCTCCCTTGTCATGTTAGGGTAATTTGTTCTTCCCAGGGTGTTCTCTTTGCTACTCCTAATCAGACTTGTAAAGCTCTGTCTTATTAACACTTAGGTTCAGTTAAAATACAAATACAAAGCCAGGATCTTTCTGGAGGAAAGCCTTTCGTTTGGAGTGCTGGGGGAGCATGGCCGAGGAGTCACTGAGCATTTTGGAATCAATGTAAGTTTTCCTTTTTTGGAGCATGCCTCATACCAGAAATGCGCGGTCCCATCCTGCTGGGCAGGTTCACAGCACAGGCAGTGCATGCACGTGCAGGGCCCGCCGCTCTGGTGTCTGTCTCCTCACAGAGCCACGAGGGTCGGGTCTCCGCAGGCTGCCAGCTCAAGGCGCGTCATAGAGTCTGTGCTGTGTTCATCGGGTAGCATTGGATCGGGTTCCGCATCTGTGCTCTAGGAAGTTGCATTTGCCTCGCATTGTGTGTAAATTGTTCATGATGATGAAGTGGCAAAAGGGATAAAGTGAAACACTTTCGGGAGTGCTTTGAACTGTCCGTTCTTTTAACGATCGATTGTGTGTGTCCGTCCTCTATTTTCACATACGTAGCTTGTAGAGCCCAGGTGTTGACATGATTATTGCTGAAATCTCACTAGGCTTGAAATTGGTCTGTTTTTAATTGAGGAATAATTGACACGGTCCCTCTTTTCTGGCAGATCGATGATATTGATCTCATCAGTGCCAACATGGAGAATGCACTTGCTTCCATTGGGGGCTTCTGCTGTGGCCGGTCTTTTGTAATCGACCATCAGGTAGGTTCTTTCTAAAACAAGCTGCAGCTAAAACTCCTCCTTGGTCACCACGAAATGTGACTTATAATTAACATTTCATTCACAGTTAATCACAATTTTTTTGTTGTTTTGTTTTGTTAATCCTCACCTGAGGTTATTTTCTCCATTGATATTTAGAGAGAGTGGAAGGAAGGGGCAAAGGGGAGAGAGAGGAGCGGGGAGGAAGGGAGGGAGGGAGGGAGGAACGTATTTATGTTTTTAACTTGTTTCTTCTCAGCGCCTTTCCGGTCAGGGATACTGCTTTTCTGCCTCGTTGCCGCCCTTGTTAGCTGCTGCTGCCATTGAGGCCCTCAACATTATGGAAGAGAATCCAGGTATAACCTTCGAACCCAGGAAGTCAGACTGCAGGTTACATTAGCCCTGGTCCTATGCGCTTTTTGGAGGAATTAGCTAGAGGAGATGATGTGCCAGACAGCTCTGGGCTGAGTCTCACTCTCGGCCTGACTGGAGAGGAGCAGGGCAGCGCGCTCCTGTGTCTGCCGTCCTGGAGCTGGAGCGGAGCGGAGCGCTGCTTCCCGTGTGGGTGGGCGCAGTGCTGGGCCTGTGTCGTCTGTTTATCTCTTTTTTTAGAAATTAGCCCAAGTGTGCTACTAATTTTTGTTACATATAATTTTATGACTGTCTAACTTCCCTTCCGCTTTTAAATCATCAATTGGATTCTAGTTTACGACCATTAAAATCAACTGAATTTAAAATGTGGCTTTGGTTGTGATCATGCCTCCTCACCAAAGCCTGAAACAGAATTTGAGAAATAGGCATAACCTGGTATTTCTTGAATTTCAAATTTTCTAAGTTTCTAAATTTTCAACTTTGGGTTTAATTCAGAGAATTGGGAACCATGAGTGTTTTCTGGGCACTTTCCCACACCTGCCCGGCAGGTGGCCTGGCCCTCCAGCCACCTGCTCAGGTAGTTTAGTTTTTCAGTTTTTCTTGAGGAAATGGAAAATATCAAGGAAAAGATCATAAAAATTATTACATACAGTCTCTATTTTTTACCAGATTGTTTACCAATTTGATATTTCTGTAACAAATATCTTGGTACCCTTTTATCCTTAGCCAAATTATTTGTAGAATTTTGATAAGAACAAGAGCCATTGTTTTGCTGTGGAAAACGTCATCCCAAATTTGCTAAGAAGGATGAACAGGTATCGGTATGTGCCAAGGACGAAAGCTTGGCCTCCGGAGGCGTTTCTGGCCGCCTGTCTGTGTGTTGTTAGTATGTGGAAGGATTTGCAGCATTTTAAATTGATGAACTTGAAATGGATCTTTTTAAAAATATGTATTTCTTTTATTGATTTCAGAGAGGAAGGGTGAGGGAGAGAGAGATAGAAACATCAATGATGAGAGAGAATCATTGATTGGCTGCCTCCTGCATGCCCCGCACTGGGGATCAAGCCCGTAACCCAGGCATGTGCCCTTGACCGGAATCAAACCTGGGACCCTTCAGTCCGCAGGCCCATGCTCTATCCACTGAGCCAAACTGGCTAGGGCTTGAAATGGATCTTTAAAAGATATTTTTGGATTAGTAATACCAGATTTTCCAAATATGTACTTGACCTTGAACAACATGGGTTTGAACTTCCCAGGTCCATGTGTATGCGATGTTTTTCAATAAATACCTGCACCATCTTCCATTGATTTGAGGATGCTGAGGTCCTACTGTGTGCATTGATCTGTGCCATGTCATACGCATCTGCGGATTTTGGTATTCCCCACAAATGCCAAGGGACAACTTAAGTTTTTAAAAGTCAGAAGTTAAACTCAGCCTGGCCAGTGTTGCTCAGTGGCTGAGTGTCAGCCTATGAACCAAGAGGTCAAGTTTCGATTCCCGGTCTGGGCACATGCCCGGGTTGCAGGCTCGATCCTTGGTGAGGGTAGGGTGTGCAGGAGGCAGCCAATCAATGATTCTCATCATTGATGTTTCTATCTATCTATGAAATGAAGTAAAACTATATATCCCATCTAATAAAGAGGTAATATGCCAATTGACCATCACTCCAACACACAAGATGGCCGGCCCCATGTGGTCAAAGATGGCTGGCCGGGGAGGGCAGTTGGGGGTGATTGGGTCGCAGGGGAGGGGCAGTTAGGGGTAATCAGGCTGGCAGGGGAGCAATTACGTGTCAATCAGGCCGGCAGGGGAGCGGTTAGGGGGTGATCAGGCTGGCAGGGGAGTGGTTAGGGGGTAATCAGGCTGGCAGGCAGAAGCGGTTA